TCATGAACTTTCCTATTCTTTATGACAAATACATTTGGTTGTCCCAAACTTAAACAGAGAGTATGTCATACTAGAGATATCTTATACACATTGTACCTTGTTTCAGTGAAGAATTACTTACACCTTTTACCAGTATTAGTGGAATAGAGGATTGGATTCTGATGATCACATGCTGTCTCAAGTTACACGGAACACATATTTGGCCTGTGCCAGTGGACTATAACTTGTCAAAGAACTTTTACAACTGCACATTGATTTTGTACTCGTTGAAACAGTGCTCATAGAAGTTACTACCATCCAGAAACAGTGTTCATAGAAGTTACTACCGTCCCCAAATCCTATGTCAAAAAAAATGTTAGGTAGATCAATGTAAGGGTTATTCAATAAAAACCAAATATAAATTATATGAGGCTACATTCATTATCCTGTTCCATATAACTGTGCAAAGACAATTAAGGATAAATATTTACCTGTATCATGTACGATTAGATTGTCCTCTTTTTTGATGTTAAGTTTTTCTTGTCAGATTGATCATGCCCCTGGTGTTCCAGTAGTGCCATCATCTATAGTTAGCATGAATGCCTTTATTCCTCCTGGCCAAATGACTACAATGCATACTTATGCAATGACTCCACAAAGTGTTCAACAGCCTGTAGCTGTCGCCAATTCACCTTTTCTGCAATCTCACATGGGCCATTTACAATCAGTGCCAATTGTTCCAACTCAGCAGCACTGGCAAAATCAGCAGGTACCGGAAGCATGAAATTTGGAAGGCTTGTTATTCATTATTTTATGCCATTTTCAATATCAATTTATATTTCTGGTCCACTTTAGATTGTACCAGATATCTCAGAGATGCCTAATCAGAGCAAGCATCCACAATCCCAGACAGAGCAGGATCTTTTAAGATCAGATATCCACTATAGCTCCAATCTACCTGGTGAAATACAAATGGTCCATCCAGACTATCTTAATAGCCACAGAGACCTGCAACAGATGTCTGGCCTTTCATGCAATGTCTCAAGTGAAGAAGTTCAGGTTGTTAAATAAGAAACAGTTTTTCCTTTATCTTGATCTGTTTGTCTGATGTCTCTTAGGTAAGTGTTATGTTTGTGCTAACTTTTTATTGCTAGGTGGTTGAATCAAACAGTGATCAGTACTCAGCTACCCAACAAACACAAGGGACCTCAGATGCACCTTCTCACCTGGATTTTGCAAAAGAATTCGACCCACCGGAAATGAAGAATGAACCAAGGGCTCGTACTCTTTTTAAGCCACTTTATGGATATTAAAGTTGAAAGAACAGAACTGCTAAAATGAATCTTAATGAACACTGACATCCTGTTGTCTACAATTATTAAGATAGTTTCTCTAGAATTGTTGATTCTTCGCTTGTGCAGGTTAAGGACCTTACAGCTGCAGGGAACCAATCACAAGAGCAAGTTCTGGAATCTGGAAAGCAATGGCCAACTTCTAGCATCATGTTATCCACTAGGCAAAGCAGCTCTTCTGTCAGTTTAAATGACACAAAAGAATCTGCTGTTACGGCTGCACTTGTTTCAAGTATTTCGATGCCTGGTAAACCACCATTGGAGCCCAATCTTTTAGATGAAAGATCACTTTTGGCTTGCATTGTCCGTGCAATTCCTGCTGGATCAGATGGTAGAATCAGAATCAGTACAACAGTGAGTGCAACAATTTAATGCAAACTGTATAATGAATTTACTAATTGGTATAATCTATTTCCCTATTAAGCTTGTTTGCGACTATTGTTTTAGCTACCGAATAGGCTTGGGAGAATGCTTGCACCCCTTCGCTGGCACCATTACAAGAAGCATTATGGAAAGCTTGATGATTTCGTTGCTCATCATCCTGAAGTAGGTTTTTAGCCTTTTATATTTGAACTATTAATGGCAATGTTAACTATTATATTAAGTGAAAAAAAATTCGATCTTTGCAATTCCAGTTATTTGTTATTGAGGGGGACTTCATCCACCTTCGTGAAGGAGCACAACAAATTATATCTGCAACTGCAGCTGTTGCCAAAGTTGCTGCTGCTTCTGCATCTTCTGTTCCTTACGTATCATTGTTTCCTTCGGTTGCTGTTACTCCAGTTGCTCAAATCAGCCGCCGGAAAAGGGTACAATCACTTGAATCAGAGGTTGTAAACAGTAAGACTTTTGCAGATGGTGCTTCTGTGATTGATGCTGGAGATTCAAGTGACGACTGCACCCAGATATTAATAAGACAGGACCAAAAACCAAATGGTGTCAGTTTTAACATTATTCAGGGGCTTTCGGATGTCAAAATTTCAAGTAAATTAAAGAATGTCCAAGAAGCTAATGGTATACCGTCTGATTTCAAAACTGGCCATTCGTCTGTTCATTTTACGGTCGGAAATGCAACAAACCTTGATAGAACAGTTTATCTTCTTTGCAGATCAAATAGCTGAGTGATGGAATGCAGAATTTTGGAGGGAACCAGCAAGAGAGGTACTATCAATTTGTCCTGATATATATAGATATAAATAAATATATTTTCAAGTATTCCAATGATGTAAATTTCTGGTTTTCAATCTAGATGATATAATGAATGTGGCTACTTATATTTTGCCAGGTCTTCTGGGGCTGGCTTGATTTCAAGGAGATAGTAAGTCCAATTTTACTAAATTTGGTTCATAAATTTAAGTGTCTATAGTTAAAACTCTTTAGACTCCTTGGAAGTTTTGTATGACATGCTAATTCAATTTAGATAGACAAACCTTTACATTGTTGCTTAGTTGTATAGTAATGCCTTTTTCTTCTCCAAAATAATAAAAATCATCATAGTGATCCATTTTTTTGGATCCTAATTAGTAAGGGGGTTATATTGGTGTAAAAGAACAGTCGTTGTCATGGTGTAATCACAACAAAGATAAGTTTAGGCAAGAAGCAAACTCTTCAAAAATCAAACAGCTCGTTTGGAACAAAAGAACACTATGGAATTGAAATCAGAATGACGAGCTTGGGAATGTAATATGGATTCTCCAAAAGCTTGGGATTTCACAAGCCCAAGTGACCATTTGATTGTCCTATTTAAGTTGCTGTTGAATAATTGCTCGAATCTTTGATTTGCCTTCTTATGCTCAAAAGGAATTGCAATGGTAAAGATCATTACTTAGATGTTTGAATATAGGTAAAAGTATGATTAGTTAGCCCCTAATATGGGATTTCCTTTGTTACTTTCAGTTATTTGTGGTATATATTTTGAAAATCTAACATTCGATAATGATTTTTCATTTCATATTGGTCTGGTGGTGGAAGTGCATCATGCATGAAACTTTACCAAATGACTTTTATGGCCACATGCTTGATTTTTTGAATGGCAGGTGCTACTGATTAAAGCTAAGGCCTCAGTCACTTGGATGGAAATTGCAGCCAAACAAAAGTTTGGAGATTATTTACTCCGGATAAAGCTCTCTGATCATTCTTTCTCAGATTTTACTGTTGAATCACAAACTTGGGCTCTTCCTAGTTTATTCTCTGCCAATTTATACTTGGATCCATGTTTCAAACCAAAAGTAAGAAAGGAAAAAAAGATAGAATTCTTTGCAACTGTGCAATGCTTAATGCATCTACTCGCTATGCATCTGATGAAAAGCTTGATTGTTTGTATTTGATCCTGGTTCCAATGCCCAGATTCCAGATAATTACAGAACTTTCCATGGTGGAAAAGCTGACACTGCATGTTTTAGTGCTGATTGTGGTATCCTTTGTCTTCTCTCGAGTGTGAATAACTCGAGAATCTTATTAAATGAATAGGTGAAATCTGAGATGAACTCATTCTCCAATCTAATCAGCTGGTAGTGATGTTCTAATGATATGGCTTTGTAGCTAGCAGCTGTTGTTGCCACAGCCAATAATTTCAAGTATTTAGGGGCAGCCGATGGTGTGTAAATAGAAGCTGTTCAGGGCATGCAGTATTGGTAAATGGTTTTAAGAATAAAAACCCTTGAATTAGTATGGCCCCTTCCTCTCTCTCTCTGACAGTGATGCTCGAAGCTTAAATGATAGCAGAAGCTGAAGGATTTAGAGGCTACTGGGGACTGTAAACGTCTTCTATGTTTGATGCAGAAGTCTATGTCGAGGAGTTTGGAGTTAGGAGTCAAACATGTGAAGAACATGCATAATAAATACCATAAAAAACATTTATCCTAACATTCTCAATTAACTCTAAATGAGAAACTGGTGCTCATTATTAAGCGTACCATGATTTTTATATTATTTATTTATGTCGACATATTTTTCATAATAGATTTTTCTAAAATGATGTCAACTTCTTTCATATTTTTATTTAGTTCCTTCTTAGAGATGGTCGTGAACAGAAGAACTCATGTGCAGCTGCGAGCGAGAAGTTAGGCTTCTCAAAGATTGCAGGCATTTAAGATCAGAAGAAACAGCGACTATTACAGCAAGCCCGAGCTCGACGCTTCCGCCATCCTTTTGTCCGTAGCTTCTCAACGAAGAAGCTTCGATCGATGACATGATTTGCTTCATGGCCGGTCTCACATAAGCATCGTTACATCTATCAGGACGGTGGCGTATTAGCGCTACTGCTCCTTGTTTGTGTGTTTCCTGACGTTTGATCCTGTCGGTTGCTTCTCCGCCTGGGTTGCGTGAACGTTCTCTTGCATGGTTCTCGTGCCCCGCCTCAGGGACCGTCTTCCTCGTTGCACCGTTCTCGTGCCCTGTTTGGTCTTTCGCTCTTCCATAATTACCAAAATGTCCCGGATTCGTCTTGGTGAACGTGGGCTATACGGTAGTTTTACGCTCTGCGTCGTGTCTCCTCAGCAGCGGCCGTTCCGGGCCGTCGTCCTCTTCCCCAACCTCCCAAAGGGGTCGCCCGGTTGGCAGTTACAGTCACCCTCTTTACGATCCCGCCCGCGTTCTCCTTCCCCCTCCGTGTACGTCCACTGCGTGTACACCCGCCACCACCTCGTGCACATACATGCCTTCTTCGAGACGATCTCCCAGGAGGCCGTGGGTACAAATACCACGCGCTCCCGTTTGCTCAACCTGCAAGCCTCAAGAGCAGAGAGCGAGAGAGAGGTTTGATCACGGTCGATCACAGAGAGGTAATCTTAGTTTTCCTGAAATTTAAAAGAGATATAGTGTCACCCTTTCACGCGATTCATGTAATTTGTGGGCCGTCAGGTTTAGATCGTCGGAGGAGAACGTTCGGCAGATGATTTGGTTATGGTTTTATGAAGTTTGTCTAAATCATCGAACATGACAAACACTTTTTGATGGTTTTCTTGTTTCAACACATCGACTAATGATCTTTGAATTTTTTTTCTTCCTTTTTATTTGATTTAGCATGAGGTTTTAGGTCAAGATTACCCACAGAGCACAACAAGAAATTGAAACAAATACCACACCACAAATAGATTGGTGTAGACTGTGTGGTGATGTAATTGTTTCTACATCCACTTCTTTTTACCTTCAGTTAAGTTATTTCTGCAAAGGCTTTTCTAGAAATGAATCGCGAAGACTCTTGTGGAGGTATACGGATGATAGTTTTACTGCTCATCAACAACATCTGTGAACTGTGTGCGCGTGCAGATTGAAGTTTATTCTATGCGCGTCGGGCTTTTACTGCAGTGAGCATACCTCGATGGCGACTGTGACGGTGTTGCACTTCTCCAAAGGCTCGTGCACCAGTCCTGGGGGATTCGTTGATTCCGAGCCAAGGTCCTTCCAGAGCAGAAGAATTCCAAACTCGAGGAACCAAATTACTGCTTACAAAGGATTGAGATCTGAAAACATAGTTGATTCGCTTCGGCTGCAGTCCAATGCCAAGGCGACCTCAACCCAAGCGAAGACGGCCACTCGGCGTGCCAGCCGTAGACCTTTGGCTGTCGTCGTATGCGGAAAAGGGATGAACTTGGTCTTTGTCGGTGCCGAGATGGCTCCTTGGAGTAAAACCGGAGGACTCGGTGACGTTCTCGGAGGACTGCCACCAGCCATGGCGGTAAACTTCAACATGCTGCTGCATAAAGATTTATTTGCTGCTTTATTGTCGTATAATTCTGTTGATGCGTGATTGAAATCTGTGGTATCGATCCTTCTCGAGGCAAATGGACACAGAGTCATGACTATAGCTCCACGCTATGATCAGTACAAGGACGGATGGGATACAAGCGTGCAGGTTGAGGTATTGCTGTCTAGCTAGCTAGCTATCTAGATTGCAACACACAGCATCCTGCTGCATTTTGAAGTTTGTGGTTATGTGCAGTTGAAAGTTGGGAACAGAGTCGAAACAGTTCGCTTCTTCCACTGCTACAAAAGGGGAGTCGACAGGGTCTTCGTTGATCACCCTATGTTTCTCGCCAAGGTTCGAACTATTTTATATCTGATGCCGACTTCAGATAACATTTCGAGTGGCATAAAGCTTACCACGGATCTGTTCGTGTAAGGTAAGGTGTGGGGAAAGACCGGAGGAAAGATATATGGTCCTGCCACAGGAACAGATTACGAAGACAACCAGCAAAGATTCAGCCTTTTCTGTCAGGTCAGTGATTATTAATTACTAAACCAAATTCATCATCGATTTCTAAGTTACACTGCGAAGCAATTAGTGAAACCTACATCTACTACTCTTATGGATCTCTCTGCATTTGACAAAATCATGGATGACCTTTCCAGGCAGCTTTAGAAGCTCCAAGGGTTCTACATCTCAACAACAGTGAATACTATTCCGGGCCATATGGTACGATTCTTATTTGTTTGCTTCTCCCGATGGCTTATGTCGTTAACATTGCATCTTACGAGCAGGGGAGGATGTTGTGTTCATCGCGAACGATTGGCACACTGGTCTTCTTCCATGCTACTTGAAGAGCATGCACCGATCACGCGGGCTTTACAGGAACGCAAAGGTAAAAGGTCTTTGGTAATTCGGTTTTGTTCGTCCTTTGTTAGTATGACTGAGTGGATTCTACTCGATTGTCAGGTTGCCTTGTGCATCCATAACATCGTCTACCAGGGCCGATTTGCCTTGTCGGACTTTGCACTGCTTAATCTTCCTGATGAATTTAAATCTTCTCTCGATTTCACCGACGGGTATGCTATCGTGTTTATCCTACGGACATACTAATCCGTTTGGCCATCGATGAAGATTCTCTTGATGAAAACTCATATGATGTGTTCCATGCAGGTACGACGAGCCCGTGAAAGGAAGGAAAATAAATTGGATGAAGGCTGGTATTATAGAATCGGATAGGGTCGTCACAGTGAGTCCGCATTATGCACTAGAACTTGTAGGGGAAGAAACTGGGGTCGAGTTGGACGGCGTCCTGCGCATGACTGGTGTCACTGGAATCGTGAATGGGATGGACGTTAACGAATGGAATCCATCGACGGACAAATACATATCTACCAATTATGACACAGCAACCGTGGGGGATCGGAGCTTTCCAAACTTCTTGTCTTACTTCCTTCGTATTTAATTTTTGATCTAACTGAAGTTGATTTCAGGTGATGGATGCAAAACCTCTGAACAAGGAAGCTTTACAAGCTGAAGTTGGTTTGCCCGTCGACCGAAACATCCCTGTTGTAGCCTTTCTCGGCAGATTGGAAGAGCAGAAAGGCTCAGATATTTTTGCCAAAGCTATTCCAGAATTCATGGATGAGAATGTCCAAGTGATAGTGCTCGTAAGCATGAAGAAGCTCCACAGTTAGCATCTTGCTGCCTATTTGCTCAGCATAAAAAGCCTTGATTCGTCACCCGCAGGGCACTGGGAAGAAGAAGCTGGAGCGTCAGCTTGCAGAGCTCGAAGACATGTTTCCGGATAAATTGAGAGCACACTTGAAGTTCAATGTACCTATGGCTCATGCGATCATGGGAGGAGCAGATCTTCTCGCTGTTACCAGCAGATTCGAACCGTGTGGCCTCATCCAGCTTCAGGGCATGCGATATGGAATTGTACGTTGCCAATCTTGCCTTGGGTATCTCGTCGCCATCTATCTAATCTAATCGTTTGCACTAGAATGGATGGAAAGCCTGATCGTTGTTAATATCTACTGCAGCCCGCCGTGTGCAGCACGACTGGTGGACTTGTTGACACTGTCAAGGAAGGCATCACCGGGTTTCATATGGGTCGCTTCAGTGCCAATGTAAGGATCCTTCTTCTCTCGTCAGATCTCCTTTTTAATGCATCGGGCACCATTCGATCAAGCACCGGTTCCGAATGTGTTTTCGCAGTGCAATGTCGTTGACAAGGAGGACATAGAAAAAGTTGTGAAAACTGTGAAAAGGGCCATTAATGTCTACCGTACTCCGGCCTTCGCCCAGATGATTCAGAACTGCATGAAACAGGACCTCTCCTGGAAGGTGAGCGACGATAACGATGAAGTGATTCCCTTTCTCTGATGCAAATCTATACATCAGCATTGACCGATAGGTCGGTTGATTGCCGCAGGGACCTGCCAAGAAGTGGGAGCAGTTTCTCATGAGCTTAGGAGCCACCGGTAGCGAGCCCGGCATTGATGGGGAGGAAATAGCTCCTCTCGCAATGGAAAACATGGCCACCCCGTGAAAGTGATCGATGTCTGCCTTCGGTGTCGGAGTTAATTGTCCGCAAAGGAATAAATGGTGTCTGCATAAGCTGATATTTTACTCAACTTTGCTTGTGTTAGTGCATGCTTCATCTCTCTCTCTCTCTCTCTCTCTCTCTGATGAGGGATACCTGTTGTGAATGAAGTACGATGTCTGTCTATATTCCTGTACTGTTGTGAATGGCGTAGGTGTCGAATCTGCTCTTTGTGACTATTGTTTAGCGACTGTTACCAGGTAATGTGGTGCATTGCTTCACCAAGTGAATTTACATCGATTGCACACTAATAGATTAAATTGAAGATGTTTTTTGTTTTCTCATTTAGTAACCCATTGTAGATATTATGGTCAGACCGAGAAAAACAAAAAAAAAATATTTTTTAAATCGATCGAGAGTCCCACTTTCAATTTTCTTAGGCTGAGTATAAAAAAAAATCATTTTCTTGAATCGATCCAATTTATCAGACAAGGAAGATTTTGATAGAACAATAATGTAAGCTCAAAATAATAAATAAATATGATCTTGGTGTCTGACAAAAAAGTGTTTGTAAAAAGAGCCTCTCTCTCTCTCTCTCTCTCTCTCTCTCTCTCTCTCAAGCTATTCCAGCTAATAGAGCCATAAATTGCCTTCGACTTGGAACTTTTATCATCTTATTCATCTGTACATGACCAAGAGAAAAGTTCACATGAGCTGCTGCTATCCCCATGTTTCCGTGGCTGTCCCACTGATCTGTCATTGTACTTGATAAATGATTTTATGGGCGCACTGGTGGATCTCGAGAAAGAGACAAACTTGTCCAAGGCAGCCCCTGGAAAGACACCCAAGGGTGGTCCATTCCACATTCTTCTTTTCTTTAGTGTTTATGCTATACAGAAAATAAAAATACTAATGCAGAAAATAAATACCCATGAATTATGGTGCTTAACTAGGCAAGGCATTCAAATTACCAATCCAAAGATGAGAAGGAAGGTACAATCACTGAGAACAAGGATGGTGAAGAACTTGGTGAAATGGAGGATAGAAGATGGATGGGAAAAATGACAGCACTCAATAACTTTTTCTTTCTTCCCCATATGTTAGCAATTATGCTAAACATAATTAATTATTCATAGATCAACAGATCATTCGTGTTCACCGGCACAAGTGTTGGTTGCCTCTTTAATGTAGTCATGTTGTGTCTCGGACAAGCGCAAAGGGTCCTCTGTCATGGAAACTTGATCTTATGTCCATTCTGTATCTATGGATGTTCGGAAGACTTGGTATGCAGAATAATGGGACATAAAAGATTGGCTTTACCTCCCATCCGTGCCAAACATGTCATGTTTCTGTCAACACGACAAACCCTAATCCATTTAATTTCCACACAATCTGAAGATCTCATTGAACTATTTTAGTATTTGTGTACAGATAAAGTCATCCAAATCAACACTAAATGAACTAACTGATCTTTCTTTTTCAGTACTTTCCCAGCGAAATATGAACTGATTTCTAGCATAATCTACAGTGACAGTGTATGTTCAGCAATTTTTTCCAACCAAAGTAATACAGAAAATTCCAGTATCTTAATTTTACCATTTAATTTCTATCCGAATGCACACATTCATCCCTTCAGACTTGCATTTTTCTATATTATCTTTGCTTTATGGGAACGCTGCATCGGAGATGATGATGGTATCCACTGGAACATAGCAGGATGAACAGGTCGATGTGGGGGAACACACGTGAAGAATCGACAAAGGATGCTTCGGAGATGATGAACACCCCTCCTCAAACCAGTAGACTCTGCCCTCAGTTTTGCTGAAACCACGAGGGTATTGGGAAACATGATCTCTGTGAAGGCACCCTCATGCAGTGAGCAGCTTGAGAGGGAGGTAACATCAAAGATCACATGATCCTGGGACATGCACTGTCTCGATTCGTGGAATTCAGTAACATGTACGTGCCCAACAATTTACTTCACTTCACTCCCCTCTCCCTCTCTCTCTCTCTCTCTCTATATGTATGTCTTGGACGCACTCACTCGACCTCCACAGGCAGTCACCAGCTCTCGGAAAGAAGAAGAAGAAGAAGAAGAAGAAGAAGAAGAAGAAGAAGAAGAAGAAGAAGAAGAAGAGAGAGCCATGGGATTTCGATTGGCAGGAGTGATCCGCATGAAGGAGACGCTTCAACGGTCCTTCAGGAAGCACCACTCGTTGGCGCCGGATGTGCCGAAGGGGCACTTCGCGGTGTACGTCGGCGACATGGAGAAGCGGTTCGTCGTCCCTCTCTCCTACCTGCAGCATCCTTTGTTCCAGAGCTTGCTCCACAAGGCTGCAGAAGAATATGGCTTCGAGCACCCCCGAGGCATGCTTAGGGTTCCGTGCAACGAAGATGCCTTCGCCTCTCTCACTTCAAGAATGAGCAGCTCGTGAGAGGAAGAAATCAAGCATTAGTCGTAGCTGACCAATTAGTACCGAGTTGTAAGGAGGCGATCAGACATTGTCTGATCCGACTCTGTGTATAGAAGCATTAAACCGATCGTTTCTATGAAAGAAGCTAACTTTGTTAGATCATCTTCCTGGATTCAGTCCATACGCTGAAAGAAGCGGCTTGCAATGCTATCTGCAGAGTACTCTGGCATCGACACCGACATCTTCAACCAGAATCCACTTCCCCCGTCATCTACACCTCCAAGAAGCACAGTGCACATTTCTTACACGTATGTAAATCGAACTATTATTATATAGATAAACTAAATCTTCATATATATCTCTTTGTGCATTTCAGTAATCTTATTGGACCATAAAAAGTAGTAAAGCTAAAAAAAAGAAGTCTCCCTTTGATACTTATCATTAACTTGTCAATCACACTGACAAGATAATATGTTTAAAGAATTGGACTTCTTCCCACTTCAAGTGATCAAACTCATAAAGTTGACAATTTCTTGTTTTTCCAATTTCCATAGGATAGGTTGTCGTATAAATTATGTTCTCTAAATGTGGTAAAAATAATTATTTAGAGAAATAAAGAGAAATAAATTTTTATATATGAATAAATACTAGTAGGTTATAACACACTGGGAATCACAATCAAATAGAATACCAAGATATACCTGAAAAATCTCTTCAATGTGAATGGTAAAAATCACGGGGTAAACTAGAGACAATCTACTATAATAATAATGAATATACAAATCTCAATCTCTTGCCCAAAACCCTAACAACAATCACAAGAAAATAACTACGATACAAGGATCATGTCACTATGCACAATATCTAAATCCTTCCTAATTCTCCCCAAGTAATCACAGTAAGAATCTACTGTAGATTTAATCTAACCTAAGATGAGAACACTACTGGATAATTGAGAATAGTCTCTCTGCATTGTCATTGTTTTCTTCCCTTTCTTTCTCTTTGGATTTTTATCTTTTTCTCCTTTTTGCTACTATCAAGACCTGCCTTGCTGCCCTTGTTGCTGCCCTTTTATGCCTATTGTTGCAACCACCATACACCCTCCTAATATGAATTAGGATTAGGTTAAGTGAGAAGGTGGGCTATGGGCTAATAAAGCCCACCATGGGCTGAATGTGGGCTGTTAGCCCAACAACCTCCCCTTTCAGCCCATAAGGGAGGCTGTTCCATGACTCCTCAATATGAAGTTATCCGACTAGTTGTTGGCATATCTCCTGTCTTTCTTTTGGTAAAGTCTTTGTTAACATGTCTGCTCCATTATCATCTGTGTGAATTTTCTGAAGTTGCAACTACTTCTCTTCAAATACATTTCGAATCCAGTGGTATCTGACATCTATATGCTTTGACTTGGAATGAAACATTGGGTTCTTACACAAATGGATGGCACTTTGGCTGTCACAATGCACCACATAATTTTTTTGTTTCAACCCTAATTCTTGTAAAAATTCTTTCATCCATAATATTTCTTTGCAAACCTCTATAGCAGCAATATATTCTGCCTCTGTGGTGGAGAGAGCAATACACCTTTGCAATCTGGATTGCCATTACATAGCTCTCCCTGCAAAAGTAAGTACATAACCTGATGTGGACTTCCTCGCATCTATATCTCTTGTCATATTTGCATCTGTGTAACCTATCAACATAGGTGTTCCACCTCCAAAGCTTAAACAAACCTCAGAGCTCCATCTGAGATATCTAAAAATCCACTTCACTATTGCCTGGTGCTCTTTACTTGGATTTACTAAAAATCTACTGGTAACACCCACTGCATATGTGATGTTCAGCCTCGTACATACCATCGCGTATATTAAACTTCCAACTACTAAAGCATAAGGAACCTTTTGCATTTTCTCCTTCTCCTCATCATTTGATGGATTTTATTCTGAGCACAACTTGAAGTGACCTATAAGAGGAGAACCAACTGGCTTTGCATTGCTCATACTGAATCTTTCCAATACCTTCTTGATATATTTCTCCTGTGATAACCAAATCATCTTGGTTTTTCTGTCACGGGAAATTTACATGCCCAGTATTTACTTTGCTGGCCCCATGTCCTTCATTGCAAAACACTCACTTAATTCCTTCTCCAACTTATCAATTTTAGACATATCTTTCCCAAGAATAAGCATGTCATCAACATAAAATAAGAGAATAATAAAATTCTCATCAAACCATTTGATGTACATATAATGATCTGAAGCCGTTCTTTTGTATCCTTTTTCTGTCATAAATGAATCAAACTTTCTATACCACTGTCTTGGAGCTTGCTTTAGCCTATACAAGCTCTTCTTTAAGTTACAAATAAAGTTATCTTTACCTTTGACTTTGAAGCCTTCTGGTTGCTCCATATAAATTTCCTTTTCCAAATCACCATGAAGGAAAGCTGTCTTCATATCTAGCTGCTCAACCTCCAAATCCTAGCTAACAGTAATACTAAAAGCAACACAAATATAAGATATTTTAAGAACAGGAGAAAATATCTCTTCTTTTGACCAAAGCCTTTCACAATCAGTCCAGCTTTGTACTTTGATTGAGAACAATATTCTTGAGTCTTCAACCTAAAAATCTAATTGTTCTTCAAGGTCTTCATTCCATTTGGTAGTAGTACTAAATCATAAGTGTGGTTCTTCTGAAAAGCATCCATCTCTTCCTGCATATCAACTAACTACTTCTTTTTCTGTTCACATTCAACTACTTCTTGGTAACTCTCTAGTTCACCTGCATCACATACTCATCTATAGAGTATCTTCTGGAAGGTTGACGTTGTCTAGAAGATCTTCTCAACTAAAGTTCTGCGGGAAGTTGCTCTCCAACTTCTTCTTGCTCAACATGTCCTACAGGTAGATCAACATTAGCCTCTACACCATCTTCCTGCACATCTCCCCCATCACCCTGATATATTGGAGGAGTAACTGGGTCACAATATGCTAATCCTTCTACAGAACTCTTGCTTCTTCAAATCTTTAAAGGTTTGATCCTTAAAGAAGACTACATCTCTACTTCTAAATGCTTTCTGCTTTTCTGGATCTCAAAGCTTGTAACCAAACTGATCATGTGAGTAACTAAGAAAAATATATTCTTTAGTCTTACCATCCAGCTTGGACCTCTCATTGTCTAGAACATGTGCAAATGCACGATAACTAAACACTCTCAAATGCTTGTAGAAAACATCTTTCCCTAACCATACATGCTCTATAGCATCACCATCTAGAACTGTGCATGGTGACAAGTTAATCATATCAACTGCAGTCCTCAAAGCCTCATCCCAAAACCTTTTGGGTAGCTTCGCTTGTGAAAGCATACATCTGATCTTTTCCATGATGGTGCGGTCCATCCTCTCTGCAATAACATTATGCTAAGGTGTACCAGGAACTGTCATCTCATGTTGGATCCCATGTGACTTGCAATAATTATTAAACAATCCTGTATACTCACCACCATTATCTGATCTAATGTATTTCAATTATTTTTCTGTCTCTTTTTCAACCCATGAAACTCTTTGAAGACATTAATAACCTGATCTTTAGTCTTCAAAGCATAAGCCCAAACTTTTCTGGAAAAATCATCTATAAAAGTGACAAAATAAAGTGCATCACTTATACCAGGAACATCAACAGATCCACTAGGAGTTTTTGTCCTCAAAGGACCATATACATCTGTATAAACACGGTCTAAGGCATATATTTTTTTTAGATAAAGTAGGACTAGCAAATAAAACTCTGTGTTGTTTACTAGCCAAACAATCAATACTAAGGGTTCAAATATGTACCTCTGAGGTCTTGCAATACCTCTCTCTTGGAAAGAGCTTATAGCCCCTTCTCGCTTATGTGTCCCAATCGCCTATGCCACAACTACATGCTGAAGTCTTTCTCTGTAGCATTTAACTGCTCACCATAAGCTTTAGCTTGAAACCTATATAAAGTATAACATTTCTTTCCACTAACTATAACAAGAGAACCTTTACTGAGCTTCCATTGCCCACTGTGAAATCTACTATCATAGTCTTCATCATCTAGCTTTCCAACTAAAATTAAGTTCAGCCTCATGTCAACCACATGTCTTATATCCTTAAGCACTAACTTGTAGCCAAGGTTGGTCTTTATATGGATATCACCTATGCCAATGATGTCTGCCATGCCATAATTGTCTATCTTAACAACTCCAAAATTTTCAGACCTGTATGTAAGCAAAAAACTCCCTCTGTGGTGTAGCATGATAAGAAGCACCTATGTCAATCACCCACTCAAGATCCTGATACACAAGAAAAAATATCATCAAAATGAGACAAAATCAAATATTCACCACCTTGCACTATAGTTGTAGTATTATCCTTTGACTCTGTAGACTCCACTTCTTTTCCTTTTTTCTTATTCTTCTTAGGTTGCTTACATTAATTCTTGTAATGTCCTTTCTCACTATAGTTATAGCAAACAATATCTTTTCTTGATCTTGACTTGCTTCTACCCATGCGTGAACTACTACTAGACTTTGACCTTCTTCTGTTCTCTGAGATAAGTGCCTATGAATCATTCTGAGATGTTGTTGAATTCTTTCTTCTCAACTCCTCATTCAACAAACTGCTTGTTACTTGACTCATGGTGACAACACCATCTGGTGTAGAATTACTAAGAGAAACCATCAGTGTCTCCCAACTTTTTAGTAATGAACTGAGTAGTAACAATGCTTGCAACTCATCATTAAGAGACATTTTCAAAGAGGATAACTGGTTAGTGATACTTTATATTTTATTCAAATGCTCAGCAATAGAAGTATCCTCTCTATATTTTAGGTTCACAAGTTTTTTGATCAAAAAAGCTTTGTTGCCAGCTGTTTTTCTTTCATAGAGACTTTCCAACTTTTTCCAAAGAGAATATACAAAAATTTCAATAGAAACATGGTGAAAGACACTGTCATCAAGCCATTGTCGAATAAACCTAACTGTTTTTCTATCTAACCTCTTCCACTCATTATCTGTCATAGTTGTGGGTTTTGTACTATCCCCCTATAAAGATCCATATAAATCTTTGCAATATAAGAGATCTTTCATTCTTGGTTTCCATATCATCCAATTGTTTCTATTCAAACTAATCATACGAGAAACACTATTGACCTCCATGTTCAAATATAAAAATTAAATCACCACAACCCTGCTCTGATACTAGTTGATGGAATATAAAGAGAAATAAATTTTTGTATATGAACAAATACTAGTAGACTATAACACACAGCGG